ACCTTCCTAACTAGGCACCCATTATATACTCCTTGCCCTTATTCAGTTCATAACAACCCCGATACCCACATTTGGACGTCTCCTTACCTGGATTCTTTATCGGTTCATCCCTTACTTCAAGCCGGCAACCCAGAAGGGTCGGTCTGCCCAGGCTTTAAGTACCTGAAAGACACCCTCCCCTTGGTTCATACTTTCGGAGTGTATACTCTTTTCCTCTGGTGCGACAACCCGGCAGTTTGGCTAGTGTGTCCTCCGCCAGCAGACCTGGTCGCTCGGTTCTCCAATCTCAGGCCCTGGTTTGAATTCAGCCCTTTTGTGATACCGTTGAAGATTACTACTACCTCCAAATTCAGGACTTGCCAAATGGGTTTTCGGTTATTCTGGTTTCTCGGATTTATTGTGCCAAAGCTCCCATAACTAGATGGTATGATCAAGATTACAGATTTCTAGATCCAACTAATAATTGACAATATCATTTAGCTTTTTATATTATGAAATTTTTTTTATTTGAGTATAATTATATCAAATCAAAATAATTCAAAGCAAAGAGACTCAGTATCCTTGAGAATGCGCACCTCTGAATTACTTCAAACTTGAGGCAGATTTGTTTAATTCCCACATAAGATTAATGGATCATATCTTTGTAAACTATTTTGAGAAAATGGTATTAAACTCAATTTATATCAAATCAATATAATTCGAAGCAAAGAGACTTAGTATCCTTGAGAATGCACACTTCTGAATAACTTCAAACTTGAGGCAGATTTGTTTAATTCTCATATAAGGTCAATGAACATGTCTTTGTGAATTATTTTGATTTGAAAACTCTGAATAAAATTTTATTTAAATCTATCAATTTAAAGAAAAACCATATTAATGTATTTATTTATTTATTTTTTACTATTTTGACTAGATCCATAATTTCGGTTTCCAGAAGATTTAAAAGGGGATGAAAATGTTTTTATACTCAAATTTAAATGATTATTAGAAATCATTACATTATTGTTTAAAGAATAAGATATATGAAATAAATATACTCTAATTTTCCATAATACCAAAAAAAAATCATAAAAAGTTCTATAAGAACATTTAAAAAATAGAATTCGAGTATGTCCTAATAATATTTTCCTATATGCTGGCGAAATTTTTTTATCCATAAGATAAAAAAAAATTTCATCTTGAAAGAAATGAACTAAATAATTGGTACATCCTCTGTATTTAATAACCTACTAATACGATCAATTGAATCTTTATCTAATTTACCCAATTTTATTTTATCTTCATATAAAATTGCAAGAAATTTTCTTTACATTTACATATTCATTATTTATTTATTAGCTCTTTGATTATTTCTTTTATTTAATGAAATAAAACAAAATTATATCCAAATAAATCAAGCCTCATGTAAAGTAATTAATCTGAGTATTTAATCCAAAAAAGAATATTTATCATTTGTTGTGTAAAGATGTGGCCAGGGTAGGAAGAATATTGTTCAATAAAAATTTACCCTTGCTATCAAATTCTTCATTTTGGCACTTATTTATTCTCTGTATTTCTTTCTCAATTTTTTGAATTTGTTTAATAAAATCTTGCACCATAATCTAAGAAAATTTAATTTGTTTTAACCAATTTTATATTATAAGATTTGATAATACTACTAATCTTTACACAATACAAAAAATCTATCATATATCTAGCTTGTTGATCTTCAAACTTTAAAGAAATCTTGGAAGAACTAATATCAGCCAAAACACCAAATTTTTGATTTAAATATCTCGTATATTGTAGAAGATAGATCGCACTATCTAAAACAAAAACTTTTTTTAGTTTTAAGTAAATATTAGGGAGAAATATATTAAAAATCACCTGTTATATAAATTCCGCCAAGTTTGATATCACTAAATAAATCTAATAAATTATTTGAAATTCCTTTTACTTTCTTAGAATAATGATTGATTATTGTATTAAAATTGTCATTTAGTGCTCGACTGAGTTTGTTATAATCATTATCACCATTAATGTTTGGGAGCTTAGCTTCACCCAAAATAGGATAAAAATATCCATAGTGAACTCTATCGCTATTATTTATCACATTTTCTACACGATAAGAAATAGCAATATCAACTTTTTTACGATATTTCTTTTTTGACATAATTCCATTAACTAACTGACTAGAAGCTTCCAAATCATCAAAATTAAAAAAGAAACTTTTGTGTTCATATGAGCAATATGTTGGATATTCCTGTCTACAATATTTTAATAGTGTTATTATTTAAAACTAGAATTAACTAAACTATAATAATAACAATAATGATAAATATATTAATTTTGATATTGTTTACCCATGTAGTATAATATAGCATAATAAATTTATTCCAAGAAGTTTCTCTAAAGGCGAGATGATAGTCTTTTTCGTCAATTTCTTTATCCTTTTTCTAAGTGATTATTCTAAGTTAAATGAAATTAAATAAAAAATATAATACAACTATTTTTTATCATTGTTTAATTTAGTTATCTTACCACAATTTTAAGATTTCAATAATAGATCCTTTAACTTGTTCGCTATAAACACCTTCTGATAACTTTAAGTTTAGTGATAGAAAATATTCAATAGAAATATCGAGGTTTTGCAACTTATTAATATTCTGGAGATTAAAATTTTCAAATGAATCTTTAACTGAATTATTAATTTCAGATATATCTTTAAGATTTACTGATCCAAATTTTGATATTTTGAATCGTGTAAAATTTGTCCCGAGAACATTACGCCATAGATCAAGATCACAAAAAAGATCAATTGTCATACAATAAAAAGAATCAAGTAGGTTTTTTTGAATAAATTTGTTTTCAAAAATGTCAAAAGAATTTGAAGAGAATAATGAACTATTTTCCTAAAATGTAAAAATATTAAAAAGAATTTATTATCAATATTTTTAAATCAGATCAGATTTAATTTTACTAACCGCTATTTCTTTCCATTTACTCTACGATGCTCTTCTATCATATTATTGACAAGTTTCTTAAAATCGTCAAGTTGTACCAAATCATCACATGACTTAAGTTCCAAGAGGAATCTCCCAGATGCAAAATTCATTAAATTATGAACTATTACCAGTTAAATTAAATTAGAATAAATAATTATATAATATATACTTGTAATTAAATTTTTAAACATAAACTTACTTTTGTCATCTTCTTTGCGATGGGTGACATCTGCCCAAAACTGTAGGACACAGCTATTTTGTGCCTCAAATTCAAATAGGTAAATATAATAGTTAGTCAAACAAACTTATATAAAACTTACTTAAATAGTGTTTTCTATTCATAATTTGCTAGACAATTATCCAACGAATAACATGTAAAAAATAGTATATAAAATTTAGGGCAAATTAATGGCCTGAGCTTGTCAATATACAGCATGAGAAAAAATCCAGGGCAAATTAATGGCCTAATTAAAGCATAACCTGTTAAAAGCAATCAATATATTAAAAAAATTCAGAGCAAATTAATGGTCCGATTTAAGGATGGCAGTGAGCAAGTTATAAATCGAATATAAAATTCAGAAAACTTATTGTGATACGCACAAATTTAATCATTATAAACTTAATTTTGCAAAAATTATATCTTCTCTTACATTTTCTTCAATATTTCTTAATTGCTTTTTATCGACAGAGCTCACGTACACTTCATATTGAAGTTTTATATCAGATGAATGTTTACTAAGTGATAATATAATTTGTATTTAAGTAAAAAAAGTTTTATGTGCTAATTTTTTATGACATGAACGGATTTCATTTTTTGAGATATCTTGAACATGATACAAGAAATCTTCGAGTCTTGGCAGTCTTGGCAGAGAAGATTTAAGAGTATTAATATAAGAAATAAAAGATTCACAAAAAAATTTTTCGTTTAGCGTATTCATGATGTACAGTACTGTTTTGGATAACAGATAAACTGTTTGTATTAACGTTAACGTTAATAAAAACAAATGCAAGATGTAGATCAATTTCATGTGATCAAATATCATGTGATTTAAGTTTGCTTAAATTATAATGAATTTGCCTAGAATTATACCTAATTTTGCCTGTAATTTTGCTTGAAATTATATTTTAATTTTACCTAATATTAAGTCAGAACTCTATACCTAAATGCAATATATATGCATAAATTTTTATTGAATTTATTACTATTATATATTTATTGTAGCTTAAATAAAGCTGTAATTTACTACATATGGTAAGTTAATTTGATGTGAACAAAACTCTTTTTAAAAAGTCATCAAATATGCTTTTTGTAAATTTAGATTATTTTAATAAAAAAAAAAATTATACAAATAGAAATCAATAAAATAAAAAATCTTTCAACAAAAATGAAATATACTAAATTAATATTCATCGGAACAAACATTAGAATAATTCATTAAATATGATCAGCATTATTCTTACTCAATGCGGTACAATGATGTTAAAAGACAGAATTAATAAATCAAAGAAAATTAAACACTAATAATAGATGGCAACATGCAAAAAAAATAAACAAATAAAATGCATGTCCTATAAATCCCAATTTTGCAAAATGATGAGCATTAAGTTTACTTACAAGTAAGACTACCAAATGAAAAATAGTTAATACTATACTCAAGTCAAGAATTGAATATGAATGAGAAATAATTATATATACTTAATAAACAAAACTATCCTATGAAATTAAAATCTAAAAAGTTCAATCGGTTAGTTGTCAACTAACCAACTAATCGATTTTTTCAACTTTCAATTTGTAACACTAATTTAGTTACAAACTTAGCGAAATAAATAACATTTGATTTACTATTGAATGATAAAAAAAAAAAAATCGAATTAAAAAAAAAACTTTGAAATTTAAAATTTTAAAATCTTTAAAAAAAACTGCTGTTTTTTCAGGTTGGAGATATTATAGTGCTATTTCTCTCTACAGAAATTGTCTGAAAGAGGGAAATACATAGTAAAATTAAAAGAAAAATTGAACACGTGAATCATAATATTTGACCTTCGTTTATTTTGTAGTTCAATAATTAGGACCATCATCTCAAGGAGACGAATCATCAAAAGGTACTAATTTAATTTGATTCTGAGTGCTACTTAATGGGATATAGCTGAAAAACCTAAGTGTATCAAATTACCCACCCGTGCCAGAATACCCGACTCTCTTTCCCTTATGAAAAGGATAATTTTTATATGAACTGTTCACTATAATCAGTACCCTTATATACTACGTCCAAAGCATGGTCTCAATTGTGTAGAGAATGCAATGAGGACCCGGATAATATTAATATAGGTACGAGTTGAATTAATAGTAAATTTTCAGACTTTTTGTCTACTTTTTTGGCCCAAACTTTTTCTAAATTCTGGTCAAATAAAAATTAAATTTTAATTTGACCAGAATTTAGAAAAACTTGGGCCAAAAACATGTCTGGTTTTAGTAATTGTACCCTTTTTGGAATTATCTGGGGTCCTATGTGATATGCTATCGGTTAGATCATTAATTTAGTAAAAGTAGAGTCTAGATATAGCCAAGCCATATATAAATAGAATGAAAAACTAGTAAGCAAAATGTATTCTTTCTCTTATTAATCCAAAAGTATTTAAAACTTCTAGTGATGATTTCTCAATAACTATTAATCAAATTCGGTAAAATTTTTTTTTATTTTAATTCTATAAATTTGTAGAAGTTTTAAAAACTTTTGAATTTATAAAAAGGATCTATTACGGTCCGAATCAATCTTAATTCGGGCCGTAACCTAAAACAGCGCTTAGCGCCCGCTATTTCAGGTTTATTACTATATTAATAATGACAAGCGCACTAAATACTTTGTAGAGCTTATTTCTATGTATAAAGTTATCGGTCAATTTTTTTAAAAAAATTTGTCTTTAAAAAGTTTTAACATTTTAAAAATGTTATGTTTTTGATGCAGTATTTGCAAGATGTTTGAAATACATCAATTTTATTAGTCAATTCCAGTTACGCGAAAATTGAACTATTTCACATAATTGTCAGGTATAAGCTTCTGGCACTATATATCCAAAAAAAACGTGAACAGAGTGTGAGAAACCTTGGAATATGATCAATTATTATGATACTATTCTATACGTATAATTAATTATGATAATTCTAACTGATTATATTATAAACTAAGTTACATACTTAGCATTACTAATTACGATACTATCCATGTTTGTCTATTTAACCATTTTTGGGTTTCCTGTAAATAATTTACAGATATTGTACCGGATATAGTAAATGTCATCATTTATTCATCTCTGTGCATGTCCATAATCTGCTATTGTCCGATCATGCCTTAAATTGAAAAGGCTTATTATTACGAAGTTAAATATATAAATCTTCCGAATACTTTTCATTATGATTTTTAAAATTAAAAGTTTTTTTTTTATTGTTTTTATATAAATATTTGTTTTTTGTAACAGTCAAGTCTTATGCTGGGAATATAATCAAATGGTGATTCACGAATCAAGAATTAATTTTTAAAAAATCAACTTTCAATCTGCATATTGCCAGAATAGTAAGTTTTGTAAGAGAATTTTTTACAGCAACTCACTTCAAAACATACCAACTCAACCTCAACTAAATACTGTAGGTACATGAATAACAAGCCATCTCTTACATATAAATTTTTTTATAGATAAAAATTACAATAATTTCGTTCAAATAAACTCAATCTAAACTACCTATTATGTGTCAAGTAAGTGTGCGACTGAATTTATTATTGAAACTCACAATAAAAATCTTGGTAATTCCACTACAAATTAACTTACATTTTCTTAATAGAAATTATGATAATTCTGATCAAACCAACCAACTCTTAATTATATGACAATTATGACAATTCAAGTTTATCTTTTTGATTTGTTAAATCGATACATAATAAATAAATATTAACTATAACCAATAATTCCAGTACAACCAACTTAACTAAATCTGCAATAACTGGAATAGCAAACAATTAGAAAATGAATATACAGCAATTTACTATAAAATTCACAATAATTCCATTACTGACTTAATCACAGACTATGGTCGCATCAAAATCAAAATTTCAAATACAACCTATTTCAATCTCAACCACATATTGCTGTTATTGAAAAGCAAGTTTTGTATTTTTTAAAATAATGATAATATCAACTTTAACTATATACGAGATTACTAGAATAACAAGTTTAATGCAGAATATTTTATAGTGATTGTATAAATTGATAATATCGACACAAACTGAATCTTAACCAGTGTACAAATAAATCGTGTAATGGGTTTTTACAGTAAATGGAAATAAGAGTAATTCTAATACCAACTAATTCGACTCAAATCACATGTGTGCAGTACTGTGATAATTATTAAACTCTGTGTAAGATGGGTGGCGTGTAAGCGCCACCTATCGCACTAGTATTGTTTATTTCAGTTCTAATTACAAATTATATTATTCAGATAACTATAGTTGTTAGACAAAACCATATGATGCTAAATGTCACATATCAAAATTTAATAAAAATTAGATTTAATTTTTAGATCTTGGTATTTTTTGACTGGTGATGATTATCATCACATGGTTTCGTCTAACAACTATACAGATAATCATATTTTATCATATAAATTACTAGAGTTTTTTTTGACAAATTGTCATTTTATTTATTTAGAATGGAGAATGTTGTTGGCAACTTATATAATAATTGGTTTGACCTGTTATCTTTATAATTTCTAAATATGTTTTAAATCATTTTTTGACAAGCATTATTAAAATTGAAGATAACTTGTATTTTAAGGAATATCTTGTATATAATTAAAAAATATCCAACTAGACATACGTATAGTTTTATTAAATGATTGACTACTATAATAAGTTAGTTATCTCAGCAAAATCTTGATTATGTTATACAAAACAACTGTCAATTAGCTGAAAATTTTCTCTTTTCTTTTTATATAAATACTCCCATAATATTTATTCCTTCATGTTTTCATCAGAAAAAGAGGTTAGAAAAAAAAGCTTAATAAATCTGTACTAAAGAATGCATAAGCATATTTGCAAGCTCGAAATAATACACAATT